CGCGGGACCGCAATTACCAGGGCATCGTGCAGTACGCTGTCTCGCTGGTGGACGCGTTGCTCTTCGTGCACTACCTGGCCGTGGTGCTGCTCGAGCTGCGCCAGCTCCAGCCCCAGTTCACGCTCAAGGCCGTGCGCTCCACCGACGGGGCCAGCCGCTTCTACAACGTCGGGCACCTAAGGTGCGGGGTTGGGGAGAGGCACCGGTGGTTGGGTGGGTTCAGGCTGTGCGGGTGCTTGTGCACTCCCATGTGTGTGTGCATCTTTACGTGTGCGTTTTGTGTGCACATCTGCATCCGTGCGTGTTTTGTGTGTGTGTTCGTGCACGTGCAGCTGGATGTGTGCATGCTGCGTCCTGCTGCGCTCCTGCAATCCCTGACCAGAGGAGCTGTGAGTGCCCGGGTGTCCCCTGCAGTGAGATCTGTGTTTGGAATGCCAGCTCTGTTCCTCCTTCCTGTCCTGTCCCCATGTGCTAACCTGCTCTCTGTGCCCTGAGCCCGCTGTGTCTCCCTGCAGCATCCAACGAGCAGCCATCTGGATCCTGGAGAACTATTACCACGATTTCCCAGTCTACAATCCTGCCCTCCTCAACCTGCCAAAATCCGTCCTGTCCAAGAAAATGTCCGGGTTTAAAGTCTATTCCCTCGGCGAGGGTGAGCTCCCATTCCCTTGACTTCTCCTCTTGTTCCCCCTCTTCCTGTCCCAGTGTTTTCCCCCCCCCTCACCCCCCGCAGGCTCCATCCCATGCTGAGCTCCCAGCCGGTCTCTCCGGATTTGCATGCATTTGTCGCGGGCAAGCTGGGTGCCGGTTTCCAAGCCGCAGCAGTACCGCCCTGCTGCAAGCAGGAGCACGTCGGGCGCGTCCATGGGATGGGGCTGTGCTGGCAGCACTGGGAAGGGGAACATCTCACCCCCTTTTCCTGCAGAAAATACCACCAACAACTCCACGGGGCAGTCCCGGGCCGTCATCGCTGCGGCTGCCCGCCGGCGTGACAACAGCCATAATGAGTACTACTATGAGGAGGCAGAGCATGAGCGCAGGGTGCGGAAACGCCGCGCCAGGTATGGGGACGTCAGTGGGGAGTGGGCTATGGGGGGCTCTAAAGAACCGTCCCAGGATCTCCCCGCCGCAGGGAGCTGGGATGGAGGGAGCAGATTTGAGTCTCCCCAAAGGTGCTGGGCTGGGAGTTGGAGCAGGGTGGTGGTGCTGGGGTGAAGTGCTTTTGGGGTTGATGCTGGAGGAGTTCAAGTCTGGGCTGCGGGGTGGTGAGGTGCCAGGTGGCTCCTCCAGGCTCCTGGGGACGGGGCCACATCCAAGTGGCTTTTGGAGGTCTCCAAAGGGGACAGCATGAGTGTTTCTCGACAGGCTGGTGGTGGCAGTGGAAGAGGCTTTCACCCACATCAAGCGGCTGCAGGACGAGGACCAGAAGAACCCACGGGAGATCATGGACCCCCGGGAGGCAGCCCAGGCCATTTTCGCCTCCATGGCACGGGCCATGCAGAAGTACCTGCGCACCACCAAGCAGCAGCCCTACCACACCATGGAGAGCATCCTGCAGCACCTTGAGTTCTGCATCACCCACGACATGACGCCCAAGGTGTGTGGAGTGGGCTGGGGGATCCTGGGGTGGGTTTGCCCAGCTACGTGAGAGCATCTCTCATCAGGGTGAGGGGTGGGAGAGCAGTGCTGTGCAGCTGGAAAAGCGGGTGTGACAGCAAGGGAGGGATGGATGGGGCAGGTTCCCAGCTGCTGGGAGGCTTTTCCTGCAGGACCTGCTGGGCAGCTCGGGGCTGCAAATAAATAGAAATGTGAGCAGTGTGAAGGTGATGTTCACACGTCTGTCCTCTTGCAGGCGTTCCTGGAGCGGTACCTGAGCGCCGGGCCCACTATCCAATACCACAAGGACCGCTGGCTGGCCAAGCAGTGGACGCTGGTCAGCGAGGAGCCAGTGACCAACGGTCTGAAGGACGGGGTGGTTTTCGTGCTGAAGCGCCACGACTTCAGCCTGGTGATCAGCGCCAAGAAGATCCCTTTTTTCAAGCTCTCGGAGGAGTTTGTGGACCCCAAGTCGCACAAGTTCGTCATGAGGCTGCAGTCTGAGACCTCCGTGTGAGCACACAGAGCGCTGCAGGGGCTCCAGGGTGGCCTGGGTCATGCAGGTCCCTGAGCACCAAGCCCCATCCCTGGCACGAGGCCGCTCGGTGCCCATCCCCACGCTCCCACACCCAGCTCCTCGCAGCCATCCCCAGGAGGCACTGCCAGCACAGCACAGTGTCACAGCCAGACGGGCAGCATCTCAGTGCCATCCCCCCAAGGGCTGACCTTTGGCTGAGTTCTCTGCACCAGCAGCCTCGCTCGTGGCCAGGTCTGAAGCATCTCCTGCGTCTTCCTCTTCTGCTGCGACCGCTGCGTCTCCGGTCTTAAAGCACCACCTGTGTCTGGGCTGGTTGGTAATAACGACACTTTGGGAGTGTTTTGCAAACCCCTGTGATCTGAGGCTGCTATGGAACCATCTCTCTGCCCCGTGACCGGGGCAGACCCCACAGGCACGTTGCTGCTGCCACGGGAGACCCTCAGCTCCCCACTGCTTTGGGCATGGAGCTCCTCACAGAAGCAGGAGGTCTGACGATGAAGCTGAGAAACATCCCAGCGCTGTGGGTACCCCAGGCCACCTCCAGCTCCCAGCACACCCCTCACATAGGGCCGTTACCCCATTCCAAAGTGTGCTGGCTGCCAGAACCACAGAATCACTGAGATTGGAGAAGATCATGGAGTCCACCCGTCCGTCATCACCACCAACAGGGCCGGTGAAGGGCTGTGGGGTTTGGGGTGCAGCACCCCATGGCTTGCAGTGGGACAAGCCCAAAGTTACCCCCAGGCCTTGGTGCTGACCCCAAAGGGCTTCTTCATGGAGACCGTGCTCTGTGGGCTCCTCGGCTCCTGTCCCATGGAGGTGGTGATGAGGTGACCCCCAGGGATGCGGGGCAGGGGGACCCCAATGCTCAGGGCTGCACCACAGCTTCTGCCTTCCCTCAGCTGTGTGAGGGCTGCCAATACCTCATGGGGGTTCCTGTATTTATCCATTTTTGTCATGCTGGGGGTCACCCCAAGCCAGGTTTGGGCTTCTTTGGCCCTGAGAGCTACCAAACCTCATCACTGTGACACACACATCCCCCCCTATCCGAGGGGCTGGGGGCTTCCCAGTAAGCACCAGTAGCAGAAAACAGATCCAAGTGGATTTCAAGGGCTTTCCCAGCACAAAATGGGTGGGATGTAGCGTGTGTATGGGGAGGGGGGGGGGACTGTCCCAAATTCCCAGGGATTTTTCTGGAAATCTCTTCTATTTTTCCAGACTTTCTGTGGCTTTGTGACTCCGCTCAGCCCTGTGCAGCTTCCAGTCCCGTTTACACACGCAGCCCTTTGGGGTTGGTGCCGCCAGGAGCCCAATTTGGGGTTGTTTTACTGCAAAAAAAAAAAAGAAAAGAAAAAAGAATTCAGTGAGCAAGAGCAGATCTGGAGGCCTTGGGAAGGTTTGGGGGGGTGGGGGGGAGGTGTTCCACTCTTGGAATTTAAAGAGGAATAAACTTTCTTTTTGTTGTTCTTAAATCCCCGCGGAGCCGAGACCTTGTGCATGTGTGTAGAGGGAGAAAGAAAAAAAAAAACAAAACAAAAAAAAACCCAAAAAAACAGAATTGTAAAATTGTTTTTTTAATATATAAAAAAAAAAAAGAAAAAAAGCTCATTTTTTTTTTACGGTTTGCAGTGTTAGGAAGTCGGATGGTGTTTTCGTTGGTTTTATTTTCTTTTTTTTTTTGTTATTATTATTGTTTTATTTTTTAAATAGAAGAACTAAAATGATCATTTTTTTTTTGTTTTTGTTTTTTTTTTAATAAATCCATTGGATATTTTTTGCCTTTGTCTTCCCCCCCCCCCCACCTCCTTTCCCCTCTCCCACCTGACATCTGCAGTGCCATATGTGACCTCTAGAGAGCACGATGGGGGGGGGGGATGGCATCCTGCCCTGCGATCTATGGGACAGGGGTTTGTGGGGCTGATGTTTGGAGTGTGTGGGGGAAAGGATTTAGGGTTTGTGGAGCCCAGGGTCTAAGGCTGACACGGCCAAGGGTTTGAGGTCAATGGAGCCAAGTGTTTGGGTTTATGGGGCCGTGCTCTCGGTGTTTACGGAGGCAAGGATTTGGTGGCTTGTGGAGCTGTGGGTTTGGGGGTTGTATAGACAAAATGTTGGGTTTGATGAGGCCATGATTGGGGATTTATGGGACCAAACATTTGGGGATGGGGGTAGCGAGGATTTGGGGTTTGCGTGGCCAATGGTTGGGGATTTATGGTGCCAAGGTCAGGGTTTCTGGGGGATGTAACTGGGATTTATGGAGCTGTGGGCTTGCAGTTTATGGGACCAGTCTTTTGCTTTATGGAGCTGTGGGTTTGGAGTTTTATGGAGCCAAATTTTGAGGATTATGTGACCAACGATTTGGAGATGATGATGGGGATTTTGAGCTTTTCCAGGGCCAAGGGCTCGGGGTGAGCAGAGCACAAGCAGAGGGCTGAAGAAATACCCAAAGCCTTTGGGACCTGTGTGTTTCCCACCCCACAGCCTGCAAACCCTGCTGCATGCAAGCAGCAGATGTGCACAATGCCCACAGCTCAGCACCCACCTGCACCTCCACCCGTGTCACTGGGAGGGGATGCTGGTGGTCCCTTTGCTGTTTTTTTCAGTGCTTTTTGAGTCCCCACTCTCAGCCCCCACCAGCATCACCCTGGGGGCCTGCACGTTGCACTTTGCTGTGCCTGGAGGGAGCAGAGTAAGAGGCAGAGGAGGCTACATGATTTCTCCCCCAGATGAGTAATTTAGCACCAGCATTTCCAACCATACTCCTTTTCTCTGTGTGTAAGTCCTTAGCTGCCCCCACTCCTCCTGTGTGCTGGGCCACGTGGGAGTAAACGACAGCTTGATGCACAGGGTGCAGAAAATCCACCCAGGGTTTCTGGGGCAAAAGGCTGCTTTATTGGTTCCACTGTGACCTATCCTTGGGTGCAGTAAATGTACACGTGTCCCACACAGGTCCTCATTTTGCAGTGAGGTGGCCGTGCATCCGAGCATCCTTCTGCTGGACCAAGGTGGATGCTCACATCCTCTAGCATCCATCTGTCTTCTGCCCAGGTGTGTTGGCACAGTTTGTCCCTCTGGAGTGGCCTCGTGCTCCTTCAGGGTGTCCAAAAGCTTCTGGTTCCCCTGCTTCACCTTCAGTCATCAACAGGAACCCCAGAGCAGAGGGAACTGCCTACAGTGGTGGGATCTGTGGGCTGCTGAGAAGCAAAAGGAGGTGCTGAGCGGGACACAAGTCCTGGAACACTTTGAGAGTATCTGAAACCCCCCGTGCACAATGCTTTGGGTGCACCCAAGGTTGTGCCCCGAAGCTCTGGGCTGATGGCATCAGGGATGGGGTGAAATACCTGGGAAGGCTGTTCTGAGGGGGGTCTGGCTGGCAGGGGGTGGTTTTGCTCTGCTCCTGGGGCAGAGGGTTGTCTGATCTCTTCTGCAAGAGAGGGACAACAGCACAAAATGCTGAGCATCCTCATCCCTGCACACCGCAGAGGGGAAGCTGAGGCACAGAATGCAGCTTGTCCAAAGCAAGTACTGGGAAGAGGGGGGGGGATCAGGAAGAGCAGCTGGGGAGCAGCCCCACCTGTGCACGAGGAGCAATCAAAGCTGTGTCGTTTTCTGGGGCGGCTTCATCTGCAATGCAATGAGTGGAGGTGAATCCAAGCAGTAGGAGTGAATAAAGGATGGTCCAGCAAGAAAGCAGCTGAAAAATCTCACCTGAAAAGTCACTGATGGAGGTGGTTGGCTCTCGTGACCCTGTGGGAGAGGGCAGACACATGTTACAATAAGGAGGCTGGAAAAGAACTGGAAAGCCAGGCAGCTCCTTCTGAGATGAGCTGGGAAAGTTTGGGGTTTGCTTGGCTCTGTGTTGAGACCGAAGCTGGCCCAGGGTGGCCCAAAAGGTGCCAAACTGAGCAGAACTGAGCCGTGCAAGGGGAGGTGATGCTTTGCAGCATTTCTGTGATGCTTTTGGGTGCTCTGAGGTTGCCAACACCCTTTCCTGTGGAGGATGGGTGGTGCTGGTACTCCAGCACAGCAACTCACCGTCGCCTTTGGTCCTGCGGTAGGTGAAGAAGAGCACGAGCAGAGCAAAGACCACAAAAATGATGGGGGACCAATACCTGATGGGGAAGCCCGATTCATTTCCTATGGGAAGAGACAAGAGCTGAGGGCTCCTTGCCCAAAACAGAGCACCAGTATCTCTGGGGCCTGCAGGACCCTCCAGGGCAGTGGTGCATCCCTGAGCCACGTCTCCTCTTCATGAGACTCACGGGTTTGGTTCCCTGGGGCATCAGCTTGCAGTGGCACAGTGATGGTGGTGAGGTTCCCAGCATCAGAGGGGCTGGGGAAGCCCACTGGTCTCGTTGTCAGCCCACTCACATCCCTGGTGGCTGTGGTGGGAGCTCCCGTAGCCTCCGAGATATCGCTGTGCAGAGTGTTGTTGTTGCCCCCCTGATCTTCTCCCTTGAGGGCGAGTGCTAAGAACAAAGTTCATTAATTCACATTAGGGCTGAATAGCCTCAGCAACACCAAGACCGTGCTTTCAAATGTCAGGAGCTCGCGGGTAAGAGCGATTCAAATCTCCCAACTGCTCGCTAACGAAGAAGGCGCTAATGAGAGCAGCACTGCAGTGGGGGCTGTGCATGGTGGGGAAATGACACCGGGGGATTTTTGGAGCCACCAGCATTGTGCTGGCAGGGAAAGTGTGAGGGTGGTTGTACCGCAAGGCTTTACACCTCTGGCTGGGGTGTGCAGGATGTTTCCCAGCAGGCTGAGCGTGCCCAGTGACACATTGCAGCAGTGGGGACATCGTGGCCATGCGCTCACGGTGACGCAGCCACTGGAGGCAGGGAAGCTGTTAGTGGGGATGGCTGCACTCTGGTGTGCAATAGGGCCAGGACAGCACGGGAGCATGCAGAGAGCCCCAGAGATGTGCATAGGGCAAAAGCAAAGATTGAGCTCGCAGTTTGGCTTCCTGGAGCCTGGCTTTGCAGCGTCGCTCTGCGGGCCGGGCGTCACACCTGCTGCCTTCACACCACCCACTCTTTTCCCACTTCCTCCTCTTCCTCTTCCCACCTCACCCTGGGTTTTGGAGCAGCCCCCGACCCCCAATCTCACTCACCAACACCCACACAGAGCACAGCAAGGCAGAGTCCCCCGAGCCCCGCTCCTTTCGCCTCCATCCTTTCCTGAGAGCCCCTCCCCTGTGGCCCCGCAGTGCCTTCCTTCCCCTTTTCTGCCAACGGCTTCTTGTGAGCATGAAGGTGTTGGCAACATCACGTGGTGATTCATGGCCTAAAATTATCCCCAGGGGCATTTCTGGAGCTGTGATGGGGCAATGGAGAGAGGGCAATGGAGGTGGCGATGCCTCGGTGCCACTACATTGTGCACAGCCCCATCCGGCAGCAGAGGGCTGGGACAGATTTGGTACCACACAGATGAACCCTTTGGATAAACACACGATCCACAGAGCATTAAATCTGTTTTTAATTGATGGGTACGAATCCAAGAAACAGAAAAATGAACCGTGTATGACCACGCTGTGAAAATGCAGAAAATGCACCGTGGGTTTGTCAATAAGATGCTTTTCATCAAAAAAAAAAAAAAAAGAAGAAGAAGCAGAAAGAAATGGAGCTCAGATGTGTCTTGCATTTCTATTCTGGCAGTTCCTAGAGGGCTCTCCTGTGCCAGGCACTTCAAAGGATCTCCGGTTCCATCCCTGAATTATTCAGTATCCGTGCAGACAAGACAAAGAGCGGGGGAAGCAGCACGTGGGAAGATGTGTCCGTCTGGAAATGGATGTCGAGGGGCACTGGGACAATGCAAAGCAACACATTCCCCCCTTGCAGCCCAGCCATTGCCCAGGAGCAGCCCCAGCTGTGCTCCCCATGCAGGATCTAAAGGCTGGGGTCTGCTGGGGGGGGGGGGGGGGGTTCAGAGCTGCTTGCTACAAAGCTCCAGTGCTTCACATACCAGTATATAAAAGGAGTTGTGCAGAATGGCAACCAGGCCACATTCCCTGCCACGTTTCCCGCTGAGATTGAACCCCCCTCCCTCCCAGTGCATCCTTGCACCATCTCCTGCAGGACCACACATAGCTGAACTGCAGCACAGAGCAATGCTGGGTGTAGCAATGGGGGCTGTGAAGTCGCTGCAAGCGGTGCTGTGGAAACTCAGTGCACGGCAGAGGTGCGTGTTCTCACACTTGGTTTTCTACCACATTTTGCAAAGTGTTATTTTTACTTTCTTTGCTCAGTAACCGAAGCAGTAAAGTATTCAGCAAGTTAAAAAGCAAAAAAAAAAAATTAAAAACAAAATGTGGCTGAAGAGTCTCACTGAACCCTCCTGTCCCTCTGCACAGCCTCTGCTGAGGCTTCTCGCTGCAGGAGCACCCCAGGAGCAACGTCTCTGCAGGGCAGGGCTGGGTGTGCAGCCACAGCTTTGATCCATGTCCCCTGGTGTGGCCACAGAACACAGATATAGGATCCCAAATCTCACCCAGATGGCAACACAGCATCAGATCTCTTGTCCCAGATGAGCACTGTGTCCGTGATGGGGACGGCTCCCCAGCAGCAGGGAGCAGATCTATGCTCTCAGCAGGCATTGTGGGCACTGCAGGGCTGTTCCATGGGATGCAGCTCAACGACCATCAAGTAAAGGCTTTTCTCTTGCTCCCAGCACCCCAGTGTGCTGCTGCTCATCTTCTAATCATCTGTCTGCAACTGCAAACAGACAAAGCTTTGCTTTGGCTCCTGGGAGCTGTGCCATCCCATGCCTCTCTGCATCAAGGCACTGTGATGCTGCTATGGGATGAGCTGCTCCATCCAACTGTGGCCCAGCCAAGAGGTCTCAGGGTTTCAGCACCCAGAGATGCCCATGAGCATCAACCCACCCTGGGCTATGTCTTGAATGATGGCATAAGTGGTTTTGAAGGTCTCCACCCCTGAGGCTGGCGACTTCTTTGGGTCACCTTTCCGTGCCTGAGGGAAATTCCATGCGTGCATCTGTGGAAAATGTTATTTAAATGTTTTCAGGGCACAGAATGGGCACAGCACCATGACTCTAGGCCCCCTGAGCTCAGTGGGAAGGAGCACATCCCAGGTGGTCCCTGGTGGCACAGGGGAAGCGCAGGCAGGTGGCTGAGGCTGTCCCCCATTGAGTTTCCAGGAGGAAGCAGCAATTGAAGTTGGGGCTGTCCTTCCTCTGTGTCCCCACCACACATCCCCTGTGCTGTCCCCACCCCGGGGCTGTGCAGAACCATCCTGCCATGCACAAAAAGGACAGGGATGGACTCACCTGCTGAACAGCACCCACCTCAGCATACACCGTCATGTACTCTGCTGCAGCCCCTGCAAAGACACACAATTAGGGGGGCAGCCCCAGTGCTGGCAGCAGCATCACTGCTGCACCACTGGGATTCTCCTCGCTAAGGGCTGCAAGGATCCCATGCAAAACCACAACCATGCACCTGCAGCCAAAGGCAGCTAAAGCAACTTGCCATGACAGTCAGCTTTTTATTTTCGTGCAGGATCCACGGCTGCTTTCATGCCTTTTCTTCTCCATTTTAAGTACCATTTCAGAAAGCATGGGTGTCAGCACATCAAACAGAGAAGGAGAGTGGGTTTACATCCTGTATTTGGGGTTTGGGGCCAGATTTTCAGTTTCTATCATCTGAAACAGCCACATGGACTTCTGTTTGTGCTGCGTTTTGCTGTTTGCCAATGAAGGGCTGGGCCCCAGAGAACAGCCAAGGAGAAACCCTTGCTCCAGGTGCTGGATGTGCCTGCACACCCCACTCATGCAGGAGCTCCCCTGTTTACATCAGCTCTATTTCAGCTCATGGAAAGAACAAAACATGCACATTACAGAGGTCCACGAGATCCCTTCTTAGAATCAGCACTCAGCTGTGGCAGTGATGTGCGTGGCGCATCCACCATTGAACGGCCCTGGATGCCAGGGAGGTGGAAACAACAGTTGGTCCCGTAGGATTGAACAGCACCCAGTTCAGTGCTGGATGTGGACCCTGAGCCTCAGCATCTGGCAGAACTGATGCAAATGTTTCTGCAAAGCCCCCAAAAGCAAGGAATCCAGGCAGCATGAGTTTTGGGCGGCTGTTGCAGGCAGGGGATGCTCAGTTTGGGCAGGTGCTGCAGGGGCTCATTTCTCTTTCTGGATGGGGCACAGCCATCTTGCTGCTCGACTTCTCTGCACCCTGCCTGGCTCCCTCCTGTCTCCAGAGACCTTCAAGCTTTGGAGATGCCCTCATGGTCTTTGTGCCTCCTCATGGGGAGGGCACAAATGTCTCCAAAAAAGGACCATAGGCACCTTTCCCTGTCACTGTGCATGCAGGGTGAAGGCACAGGGAACACTGGGGGCTTGCAAGCCTAAGCACGACTAGGAACCAACACTGGGATCACAAGGACAAAAGGGGTGAAAGCATCTGCAGCTCTGGGAACAACTACACTCCCAAGGTGTGGTGATGGATGATTTTCCTCCAGATCTCAAGAATAAACAAGGAAGGAGGCTGAGGGAGACAGGAATCTTACCTGCTCTTGGAGCTGCAGGAACCAGATAGGTCATGGCTGCTCCTGCCTGGGGAGAAGCGACACGAGGCTCCTGTTAGCAGCAGCCCACACACTGCCAGGCAGGGAGCTGTGGACCTGCACCTTACCTTTTGATTTAACAGTGGTAATGATGATAGCCAAGAGTAAGAGAAGTCCAATCATCAATCCTGCTATGATGACTGTGTGGCTGTTGGGAAGAGAAGGAGGTTCTGGTAACGACAAAGGGATATGCCAGGCACATCCCAAAGCACCTCTGCTCAACATCAGAGCAGGGATGCTTCAAACCCTGCTAAACCCTTCCTACCTTGCACCACTGCTCCCCCCAGCTCTGCCTCCCTGCTGCACACCCCCATTCCACTCTGGGACAGTTGTGGGCCAACCCAGACCTCCCCTCTTGATTTTCCAGTGGCAAAAAGAGTGAATGATGCTGAAGCTGCTCAGAAAGCTTGGATATCCCCCAGCAGCTGTAGGAAGAGGTAAACTGCTCCGGCCTCAAATTCCTCAGTCTCCAGCATGGATTTGGGGCAGCATGGCAATGGCAGTGGTGCCTTGGGGACCCTGTGACATCTGGGGACCAGATGCAGACAGATGGCAGCTCACCAGAGCAGGGATGCAAGCTGTGCTTTCTGGTGGGGTGGGGGAGAGAACAGGGAAGAGAGGAGAGAAATGAATGCTTCGATAAAGCCCCTGACTGGGGACCTTTTGCAGGATGTGTCCTGCCCCCAGCACATCCCCAGCACATCCCCAGCATCCCCCACGTGTGCATCCTTTGAGAGCTCTCACCTGCACAAAGGGCAGAGGGAAAGACAGTGCTGTTGCAGCTGCTGACGGGGTTCTGTGCTGTGCAGGTGCTTCAGATCTGCAGGGTTCTTCTGCCTCTCCATCACCACCACCACTCAGATCCCTGTCTGTCTGGCTGATCTTTGTAGCTCCAAAAGAAGGAACTGCCCCCTGGGGGGGTCCACAGTGCATTGCAGTTCCACCCGGTGCAGCTCACCATCAGCTCCAGCAGCTCCACCTGTGAGAAGTGAAGGGGCTGTCAGCAAATTCCCCCACCCCACTTCCAGCCTGGGGCCAGAAGCAAAAAACACTCACGGTACACATGCAGGGTGAAGTTCACTTTGACCTCGTCGTTTTTTGTTAAGTAGGTGCCACTCCTCCTCAGCTGCTAGATGGTGAGCTGCTGTTGGGAAAGGCCACGCAGAACACGAAGGATTTGTCACAAAACACGAGTTTAGGAGATGCCCCCAATCTGATAACCAATATGGGTTCATCACGGAAGCTCCAGGTCAAGTATTCTCCTATCAGGTTCTGAAGGTGGAGTGTGACAGACTTGCCCTCTGCCCCGGCTACGTCCATCCCATTGCTGAGTAGAAAAACCCAGCTGAGACTAGAGGAGGGGTGCAAGGCTTCAGGGTGCTGCTTGTGGAGCCCTCCACCCTAGGGGATGGATCTTTGTTCCCTGAGTCCCTTCGTGCTGTTTGTGCTTTCACATCCCCTAAGTAGGTGGCTGCACCAGGAACATGCAAGGGGTAAAGCAAAAGCGCAAGGAGGAATTGGGATCAGCTTGGAGAAGTCGAGCAGGTTCCCTCTTCATGGCAGATGAGATGGCCAAGTTCACCTAAAGGAGCCTGTGGAAAGCAGGTGGCCTCTTCCTTGAATTTGACACTTCCCTCTTCTGAGGAGGGAGAAGACACTGTCCTGTTATCTTTCCTACTTCCATTTTAAATCCCCTCTGCCTTGCTTGAACCTGGAGTGGAGCTTCTTTCCTCCCTACAGCTTGGGAAGAATGGATCTTGGCACCGGGAGGTGTTCTCTCTCCAATGCTCATTTTTGAAGCCAAGCAAAGGCAGTTTTGCCCACACCCCTTCCCTGGTGAAGGCTCCAAGGACAAGCTGCCGTGGCCATGGGGAAGTGTTGGTGGGGGAGATAAGGATGGAAGGGATGGAAGTGCTGCTGCATGATGCATGTCCTTCAGTTTCCTGTCCAGGCTGATAACAAGGGCATGGAGTCACCACCAGCATCACAGCTGCACCCCATTGCCCCTACAAGTGTCACAGCCAGCTGCAGACCCAACATGAAGCATTGGTTTCTGATTACAAAGAGCATCTCTGTCCTGCAGGGGAGCAAACCCCACCATGAGCCAGCACCTGGCCAAAGCCAGGACCCCAGCAGGACTCAGGGACCTCTCCTGGCTCTCCAGTGCTGATTGGGAATTCATGTGATTTTCCCTTCTGCACTTCCCTCAGGTTTACTTACCGTGCCCAGGACATAACGAGACACACAGATCTTCCCAGTGTTTGTGGCAGCTTGGAAATCAGACAGAAAGCTGTGCTTCATTTTCGGAACCAGACCTAAATACCCCATAATGAAAACGTTGAGAGCTGGAGGTACTGAAAATTCTGAAGCAGCTCATGGGTGGCAACAGGGCAAAGACCCCAAGCTCAACACAGGAGGGCTGCAGAAGGATGCAGAGAGCAGCAGCGTGGTGGCAAGGCTGGAGCTGGGAGCTGGCACTCATCGTTATCTGCAGTGGGATCAGGACAAGATCTGGGATCTGCCCAACTGCTTTGGGACAGCACAGCAAAGCCCTAATAATGAGTTAAAAAACAACATCTGTCCTCACAGAAGGCACTGCACTGTGTGCTGATGGCTCTGCATGAGACAGAGCTGCCAGAACTCTGTTCTCCTGGGTGTTCCCAAACCAGCCCTAGCTTTGGGATCCCACCCTCCCTCCCATCCACGAGAGAAGCACACATCTCACCCCTGCTTGCTTACTGGAGGTGGAAGGTGAGCAACAGGCATCAAAATATGTGTGTGCTGGGTGTGCTCTGCTCATATAAGAACCACTGCTTGCAATGACAAAACGAAGTGAGAGTATGACAGAATCATCAGAAACAGAACTCTCACATCAGCCCAGCTCCAACACATCCCCACTGTGCTGGGAAAACTCAAAGGATGGTGACACCCCCCTGGACCAATGCACCACCACTCCTTTGGAGAAGGAATTGTTCCTAAAGTCCATTCTGATGCCACCCTCTGCATCCAACCCCATTTGGGCTCACCCCAAATGCCATCCCTAAGGAAGGCATGTGTGATAACGGAATTCTTCTGAGCCCAGCAAGCTGGCAGGAGATGCGTGACGGAACTTCCCATAGTGTGTGCACTTTTTGGTAGGCTGGGAAAGAACGGAGCAGTCAATGGGGAGCGGTGTATTTCAACACCGGTGAGCACCGATGGATGGAGGTGCGCATGGTCCCCCTGGTGGCTGCCATCTCCATGTAGGGACGGCAGCCACCGCGGCTTCCCGCTTGGCGCAGCTTGAGGCCATCACCTGTCATCATCTCATCGCTGTTTTCTGGGTGAAAAGACCAACCCCCATCCACGCTACATCCTCCTTTTAGAGAATGGGAGTCATAAGGTCTCCCCTGGGCCTCCTTTTCGGTGATAGGGTGCTTGGGGGGTTTCTGCATTAACCACACCTGGCAGGCATTTCACTGCCCACCTGCAGGTCCTTCTGCTTAAGCTCAATTCTATTTCTCAGAGGGTTTCCAGGTGTTCCTGGTGATCTTAGGCCCTGATCCAGAGGGTTCAAAAGCTTTCGAAGCAGAATCCACAGGTTGCAGTGCCGGCTGCTCTGCTTCTGGCTGTGCTCAGGCTGGTCCCTGAAGCCCGGAGAAGAGAGCATTGCAGCTTAACCCACGGATTTCCTTCCCCCCATCACTTCAACTTGATGTTCCCATTGCAAAGAGGGTTGAGGTGCAAGAAAATCCCGTAGGGCACATGGAATGAAAACCAAAGGTGAGAAGCCTCCAGGCAGAGCGTGGCAGCAGTGACACAAGGCATGATCGTGTGTGTGAGCAGTGTCGCACCCAGCAGCATGCTGGTGCTCATGGACCTCCATCACTGGGGTATGCAGTGTAAGGGAGATGACAGCCAAGCTGTCCACCTGCACAAACTGCTCTGTGTGCTCATCTGGCAGTGGTCCTTAGAGCAGCAGCACAGCTCTGCAGACTTCCCAGGGTAAAGGGATGGAGAGGGAGGACCCACATGGTGCTGGGGGCATGGATGGCTGTGCCAGGCTGGACAGCAGAGGGTCAGCTGAAACACAGCAGCCACTTCCCCAATTTGGCTTATTTTGGGAAGCGGTCTGACGCTGGCATCATATCAAAATTGGAGGGAAGTGTGCGAGGCCAGATGGGGATGTCTGGTTTCAAACTTGTGTTGATTCCTCTGCTGGGGTGAAGGAACAGGCTCAGCTGTTGCTCTCCTCCCCAGTGCTGAGCTATGGGAGGGTGAGCAGGAGCAGTGGATGTGATCAACTCATCCTGTGGGGTAATGCAGGCACTTCTTCAGCACGCAAGTTATCATTGCTCAAGACAGAAATAGTTACCAAGCCCTTAAGGGAAGCTCCTTCTTTGTCCCATGCTGGTGGAGGACAAGGCAAAGAAGGAGTTATGAGGATGTGCTCCTGGGGAAGCAGCATCTTTGCGGACCTCCCAAGAAAGCAGCTCAGCTGATTTTTGCTGAAGTAATGGGAAGAGGAAGCTTGAGATGTGTAGAAATGCAGTTCTTTCCCCCCAGAGCCTTACCCAGCTGCAACCCTTGCATGCTCTTTCACAAGCCTTCCTGAAAGATTTCCCCATAGCTTTATTTTCTCTAGCAGGTGAGATCGGCCGTGCTGCCCGAGCCCAGCAGCGGCACAGTTGGAAAGAGCAGACAGCCCTGAACCACCCCTTGTCCTGGTGCTGTACATGGTGGGCACACGGAGCTGCCCATACCCCTAAACTCAGCCGGACACCCGGCCCAGGGGATGGAGAAGCGATGTGGCGCTTCCCACGGCCACGGGAGAGCTGGGAGAGCCGCGGGGGCTCCTCGCTGTGACACCTCGAAACCTCCCAAGGGGCACCTTCTGAGTCGTTGGTTTTCTTTTTCTTCTGTAGTTCGGCGCTCCACGTTGTCCCCTATGGGCTCCCCCTGGCGAGTTCGTCCCTCCGAGCGCTGCTGTTGTCTCGTCCTGTCCCGGCGCTGCTCTCTTTGCTTTCTTTCCTTCCTTCGGCCATACGCGTTGCTCCAGCGATCATCAGCGCGATGCTTCGGGGCCGGGAGCAGCGTGTCCCATTTCCGCAGGGATGGGCAAAATCCCCTGCAGGGATTTGGATGCAGGTTGCAGTGGCGGAGCCTCAGCTGATGGGCAGCATCACGCCACAGGCTCCGTGTTGGGGCTCTGCAAGGCAAAGTGAGGGTGAGCGAGGTGCTCAGATCGGGGTGCTCAGTGTGGGACCCACCTCAACCCCTTTCCACTTACCTGAGAGCTGTGGGGGGCCAGGGATGTGCCAGTGGCTGCAGCATAAGTGGTGGTGCAGGTGGGGTGATCAGAGCCCAGGGGCTGCAGGGGGACTTCGGCTTCTGTACAGGGAGCAGAAAGTGAGCAATGGCAGCCAGCTTGCTGATCTCCCCTTCCTCCAGCACTACAAGGCCTCCTGATAGAGTTATCCCCAGAGCCACCTTGAGATGCTGAGGGCTGTGGAGAATGCAGCACCCAGAACAATCCCAGAGTAAAGCAGCCCTGCTGGAGGTGACACCTGGGGAGCCCACAGCCACCCACTTCAGAGTGGGTATGACCTCACTGTCCCCTGTTGCAAGGCTGCATTGGCACCCTGTGCTCCAACCTCACCACCCATAGAGCTGCAAGGACACAGCTTTGGGGCATTGTACCCTACAGGGCTCACTCACCTCCACCCGCTGCACCTCAAAGTAGATGATGTGCACTGTGCTATCCTCAGCCAGAGGCAACTGCTCCCTTGGTTGTCCTGCACCAGGAACACAGCAAAGTCACCACGGGGATGGGGGGAGCAGCAGGACCCCCACTGACCCCATACTCCTCCCCCGGTGAGGTTCCCAGTGGTTTCCCATGTTGCATCCAACCCTGACGCAGCTGTTTGGCTACGGGCTCATTGGCTTGGTGAATTTGTCACTGCTCAGGGTGTTCACCCTCACCAGGGCGTTCTGCAGAGATGTTGCTCTCTTGAGCTTGGGCTGAGATCACACGTTTCTCCTTGAAGCTGTGTGATATCATCACAGAAGTGCAGCATCCGCACAAAGCCCTTCAGGTCACATACTAGGCAAAGCAGGTATCTATGCCTTTTTTTTTTTTTCTTCTTTTTTTTAAAGCTGCTTTCCTTCCTGTCTGTTACCCGATGCTTAAAAAGAAGCAGGACCCACTCAGCCTTCCACCCGTGGGAGCAGGGTAACCCAACACAAGCCTCGGGGAGCTGTGAGCTGCTCCTGTCACCCCCAAACCTTCACGCCCTGCATTCACTCATGTTTGCAGCCACATAGGCCACAGTGAAGGCCCCGGCAAGCACCATCAGGATCATTATGGGCAGCACCACCCCCAGCAGCAGCAGCATCCCTGTCCTCCAGCTGCCTGTGGCTCAGAGAGAGCGAGGGTCAGCATCCAGCAGAGAGAGCTCATCGTTAACCCCACCCCTCCCTGTACCTTCTTGCCTATTTATGGGGCTGAGGATTTCAGAGAGGAAGAGCAGGAAATGCTTTTTTTTTTCTTTCTTTTTTTCTTTTTCTTTTTTTTTTTTTTTTTTTGAGCTGAACTCTCAACAAAAACGCAACGGCCAGCATAAAAATGTCTCTGAGGGGCGGATGAGGCTCTGACGCTTCTCTGGAGGCTTTGTGGGGAGCCCAGGGGCAGAGCTCTGCACCTCCAGTCCTCCTGAAGGGACAGAGGCTGCCACACATGTAAGTGTTACAGGGGCGTCCCTGCATGTGTAAGGTTTGGAGGGACCCAGTGCTGGGAAATGCGCCTTGCAGCACCTCGTGTCAGCATCTTCCCCTCTACAGTGAGACCTAGAGATGATGTGGGGACCTTTGCCAGGCACAAGGCATTGAGAGAGCCCCACGTGGGTGGGGGACAAAGAGGTGGTGTCACTGTTGTGTCCCCAAGGGCGAGGGGCAGCCACTGCATCACACAGCCCACAGCAAAAGTCCCCACGTCACAAGGGAGGGCAAGAAAAACCCAATGACAGAGAGCATGATTTTGGCCTCAAGAGCCTCCTGGGGGGAAGTTGAGGTTCTCATCATCCCCAGCTCTCCTGGTGTGCAAATCTCATGCGTTTCAAATGGGCCTGGTGCAGCGGGGCGCAGCGAGCACGGCTCAGCGCTTATGGGAACGGCCATGCAGCCCACAGAGGTGCTGTGGCTTCTTTTCCTGCCAAAGGTTCCTTCGAGGTGAAGAAAGCAATGTGAAAAAATCCCCCACGGGGCTGAAGGTGGGGGAGAGAGTGGAACCAGGGCTGCTGCATCCCCGGGGGCTCACCTTGCTCCTCGGATCTGCAGATGGAGGAATGGAGGGCGGTGGTGCAGCAGTTGACAGGGTTGCTGGCAGTGCAGGCGCGAGGCAGGGTGCTGTTGGTGGGGTCAGAGGAGAGCAGCAAGAGGCTGCTGTTGTGGGTGCAGAGCGACGAGGTGCTGGCCTCAGAGCTGGCCCAGCTGCAGGACACGTTGTCCCCTTGTGCTGCTGTGCAGTTGAGGGTGACTGTGCTGCTGTCATTGGCCAGCATCCAGTCGAGGATGTGGATGCTGGGATCGGACACGGGTTCTGGATGGAGAGAAGGGATAAAGGCTGAGAAATCCTATCGAGCCCTCCTGCCATCACCTGGAGGTGCTGCTCCTGTCCCAATCCTGCCACAGGCTCTGCAAATGAGGCTGAGGTCTGCCTTCACTAGAAGGTTCTGGAAAAGGGTCTTGGGCTCACCGCCACCTCTCAGCCCAACGCTCCCACCATCCCATCAATGCAATGCGTCTCACCATACACCACCAGTCGGATCTGCCAGTTTTTCTCCCCTGCTTCCATGGTGACAGAGTATTCACAGAGCTGCTGGTCAAGCCGTTGGGTGCTGAGGATCTCCAGTGAGAAGTTGGGTGGAAGAGAATCTGTCCCAGCTTGTAGTTGGTGTAGTTACCTTTGTAGTACGTGCACAAGTATTCCTTGCTTAGTGGGTTTTCCATGCTCCTCTTCCATGTGACTGTTCCAAAGTGCTGGGTGAGATTCTGGAAGTAAGGGGGGGGATCCCCAGGACCGTTGCCTTCCCCAGGTTGCCAAGCAGTGTCTCCATCATCCCACAGCCTAAGCCTGGAAGGAGAGCAGAGATGTGTGGGAAGAGCCTGGAGGAGCTGTGACCCCTCTGGTTACAGAGCTGCATGAGCAGGGAACAGTGCTGGGATTGCCCTGGTAATCTCATGTCAACCCCTGTGCAATGATCTGCTCGTCTCTCTACTGAGGTGCCTCATCGTGTTTTCAGCCCGAGCTCTGGGTTGGGCACCACATCCTGCCCCAGTGACAGTGGCCCCACACTCCAGCAACCCCTGCGTGCCCCGAGGGTGTCTGAGCACCACCAGTGGCAGTGGTACCTGGTGCACACCAAAGCACTTTGGTCACCAATCAGCCCTGGGTTGCTCGTGGGTTGCCTCTGGTTGTGACAGTGATTCATAGTTGCCTGCAGCCCCCGTGAGCCGTGGGCTTGTTTTCGTAGGAAACAGTGTGGGGATGACACCAGCTCAGCACTGCTCACCGACAGAGCGTGGAAAGGAACTGTGCCACATCACCCTCATGTCTCCTGCCCTCTTCTTTCCAATGGAGCAAGGGCTCATCCCAGAAGGGAAGAACACAGAGCAGGATAATCTTGGCACAGATAATATCCCTATCTGTTTTTACTACAACACATCCACTAAATCCTCAACTGAACGCACAGAAACTGCTTCCCTCCCCCAGCACAAGTCCTTGCCACTGCTTATTTTTTTCTCCCTCCACGGCATGAAATACAGCAGCTTCAGTGCTGTCCCTGTGAATTACATCTCCGGGATGCCGACCCAGCCATGCAGAGTGGCTGCTATTGCACAGGAACGCAGCAAAGCTCAGCATGAAGCTGGAGGCTGCATTTTCTCAGTGGCATGGAGCACAGCGGTTAAGCTCCTGATTAATTACTGAATGGAAAAGCCTTTTCTGAAACATGGTAGCAAAGCCCTCAGCCTGGTAAGCTGCAGCTCCCAGGGAGAGGAGATGCCTCCTGCGGGAAGATCGCTGGGATGTGGGACTGGAGGTTATGAGAGGCCAGGAGCAACCTTGTGGAGCAGCTGGGGGAATGTAGGCATAGTACAGGGTCCAGAGCAGCCCCTGCATCAGGAATTGCATTCATGGGACTTTCAGAGTTCTGTCCAGGCAGAAAAACCCAGGGGGATTTTGAGGGCAGGTATTCTAGTAACTGTGAGCCAACAGAAAGGAGGCAGCCCCGCGCTGCTGCTTTGCCAGGCAGACCTTTCACTGCGTGCCTGGTGACGGTGCAGCAGCACATGGGGACGCGTGTTGCCTCCAGGAATGGCACTGTAAAGAGGGTCGGGGCTCAGCCCACCTCCCCACGCACTGATGCTCCTATAGATGTTCTGTTGCTCAAGTACCATTTCCATCCCAACCAGCACCCAGAGCTGAGACCCCTGGAGAACATCCGCCAGGACTGCATCTCCTGCTCCCCAGCCCAAAGCATCAGTGATACCCCATGAAAACCCATGGCAGAGTATTTCACCACTACATATATGCTCCAACCATCACTGCCTTTGTTCATTCATCACCTTTTATTCTCTCCTCCCTCAGTCTGACTATAGAGCACATTAGGGATGCGCCACACATCCCACCTGGAGTCCGGAGCCGTTTGTCTTCCAGATGAATATTTACATTTATCTACCTGTCCACCCAGCCCACAACGCACCATTTCTAATACCTGCAGACCCCCAAGCCATCCAAACCACACATTTTGCAGATGGCAAAGATATACATACTCCAAACCCAGCAAGAAGAGATGAGCAGCCAGAGCAACGCTCTGCAGCCCGTGCCTCAGCTCACGGAGCTGCTGCTAGAGTGGAGTTAATATCTGCTGCCATGCTCATTATGAAAACAGGTGTACTCAGATCACAGGCACTGCTGTGGGCCGTTTCCTGTTTTTTTGGCTGAATGATTCCGTCTCGAGTGGAAAGTATTCAAAGCGCTTCTGAACGCATCGCTGAAGAGCGATGAAGGGCCCAGAGCATCGATTTATAGCTTTCTTCAGAAGTACATCATCTGCCACAGGCCCTTAACTCACTGGGGAAGAGGAAGTGAGGTGGGTTGAGAACTGGCTGACTGACAGAGCACAGAGGGTCGTTGTTGGTGGTTCAGAGTCCGGTTGGAGACCTGCAACTAGCGGTGTTCCTCAGGGGTCTGTGCTGGGTCCGGTCTTGTTCAACATCTTCATCAGTGACCTTAATGAGGGGATAATGGCCACCCTCAGCAAGTTTGCTGATGATACGAAGTTGGGAGGATTGGCTGACAGCCTGAAGGCTGTGCTGCCATTCAGCAAGACCTGGATAGGCTGGAGAGCTGGGCAGAAAAAAAACAGATGAGGTTTAACAAAAGCAAGTGTAGAGTCTTGCATCTGGGGAGGAATAATTCCATGCATCAGTACAGGTTGGGGGATGAGCTGCTGGAGGGGAGCTCTGCGGAGAGGGACCTGGGTGTCCTGGTGGACGACAGGTTGCCATGAGCCAGCAGTGTGCCCTTGTGGCCAAAAAGGCCAATGGCTTACTGGGGTGCATTAAAAAGAGCGTGTCCAGCAGGTCGAAGGAGGTGATCCTCCCCCTCTACTCTGCCCTGGTAAGACCTCATCTGGAGTACTGCATCCAAATCTGGGGCTCCCCAGTACAAAAAAGGCAAGGATCTCTTGGAAAGAGTCCAGCGGAGGGCCACGAAGATGGTGAAGGGCCTGGAGCATCTCTGCTATGAGGAAAGGCTGAGTGAACTGGGTCTGTTCAGCCTTGAGAAAAGAAGACTGAGAGGGGACCTGATCCAGGTCTATAAATATCTAAGGTGTGGGGGGCAGAATGGTGGGGCCGGACTCTTTTCAGTGGTGGGTAGAGACAGGACAAGGGGAAACGGCTGGAAACTGCAGCATAGGAAGTTCTGCACAAACATGCGCAAGAACTTCTGTACAGTGAGGTGACGGAGCACTGGAACAGGCTGCCCAGGGTGGTGGTGGAGTCTCCTTCTCTGGAGATGTTCAAGACCTGCCTGGATGCCGAGCTGTGCGACCTGGTGTAGGGAACCTGCTTTGGCAGGGGGTTGGACTCGATGATCTCTGGAGGTCCCTTCCAACCCCTACAACTCAGTGATTCTGTGATTCTGTGAAACGGCCAGCACCAAGTTCACTTTATGTATGGTAACAGACTCCCGGGGCTGCCCAGCATCGGCTGGGGTGGAGGAAAGCGGCACGAGCACAGCCCACACCTCGCAGTAGGAAAAACAGTGAATATTTGGGGATTAACCCACTCCAGGTGCACGGGATCCAGCGTGGTCCCAGTCTGCAGCCTCAGCTCCAAGGCTGTGCTGCAAGCAGGAGCACAGGTGGTCCTTAAAGCCCACAAGAACCTCAATCTGAGCACTGCGAGGCTCCAGTTTGCTCCCGCAGTGCTTAAACCCAACCCCCCAACTCTGGTGGGGTCTGGGGATTGGGGCAGTATAATCAATGGAATATACAGATGTTACAATTAAGAAATAGCCAGGAAACTTAGGCTAAGAAAGATAATTGCAACAGGAAGACAATAAATAGAAAATGCTTACCAATGCTTTAGGCTCACAACATTCCTCACAAGGAGCAATCTCCAGGAAGAGATTCTTCTTGCTCAGTGGCAGTCAGCACTTAAATGGGGTCTAGGAGAGGTGAAGCCAGGCTCTACCCCTTCCAGTAGCACAGGTGAATTGCCTTTGTCTGTGCTCCTGTGGCTGAATCATTGCTTGCCTCAGGTGGTCAATCAGAGGTTCAGGCCATGATTCAACAGCTCCCATACAGGTGCTGTCCTCACTGCTGTGGGCATTTCCTGGCTGAAGGAGGAGGGATGGGTTATAGATGGAGAAACATCGGATATGAACAGAGCAGGGGTGGGATATGTGTGAAACATAGGTGGAATATGGATGGGACGTGGATGGGATGGAGCAAGACGGGATATGAACGGAGCAGGGATGGGGTGTGGATGAGATGTGTGGGACGTGGATGGAAGAGAGTCAGGATATGGATGGAACATGCATGGGAAACAGATGAGACATGGATGAATGTGGATGGAGCAAGGATAGGACATGGATGGGGCATGGGTGGGACAAGGATGGGGCTGGGATGGGATGTGGATGGAGTAGGGATGGGGCATGGATGATACGTGGATGTGAAATGGATGGGACACAATTGCAGCATGGTTGGGGCATGGATGGGACATGGGACATGGATGGGATATTGGTGAGACATGGATGGGACATGGATGGGACACTGATGAGACATGGATGGGACATGGATGGGATATTGGTGAGACATGGATGGGACATGGATGGGACACTGGTGAGACATGGATGGGACATGGATGGGATATTGGTGAGACATGGATGGGACATGGATGGGACACTGGTGAGACATGGATGGGACATGGATGGGATATTGGTGAGACATGGATGGGACATGGATGGGACACTGGTGAGACATGGATGGGACATGGATGGGATATTGGTGAGACATGGATGGGACATGGATGGGACACTGGTGAGACATGGATGGGACTTGCATGAGGCATGGATGGAGCAGGGACAACGCTCAATACACACCGAGGCTGGAAAAACTCTGCCTACATGTTCCATTGCTGGAAAGGGGTGAGAAGATCTTGGTTGTTTTTGTGTTTTTAGTGGAATGAATTATTCATCTCTGCCGCTGCTCAGTGCCGCTGCTTTACAATGGGAGAAGGGTTTTTTCCTATTACTCTTTTCAAGTTTTTGTTACTTTTTCTCTCTTGTTTTGCGGAAGAAAGCGGAGGCAGCAGCATGAAGCACAAATTCCTCTGTTTGTTTTAAAACAGACCACATTTAGGTGTCAGGATGAAATAAAAGCTGCAATTTATGCCTCCCACCGTTTTCCAGAGGAGCCGGGCTCTGAGCGCTCCATGACTTTTGTCACCAATAAATTATTTCTGATGCTAAAAGCAAAGCTATGCCCAAATCCACATCGGACCAACCCGTGTCCTGCAGGGTTGTCCTTGCTCAGAGAGCATCTGGCTGAGCACCAGGCAGGGCAAGCTGATGCCTCCGGGCTGGAAAAGCATGTGAGGCACTGGGAAATATCACAGAGGGGAATTTCTGCACAAACTCACATTGGTGCTGGAAGCATCGGGCTGTAACACACCAGGAATTACCCTGGGCCTCCCAATTTAACATGAGCTGGAATGACTCCTGCTTGTTCCTGGTTCTCAGATGAGCCACCAAGGTCCCCCGGGAGGTGGTGCTTTGGGATGGTTCTGGGAAGTGGCCCAGGGACTGCTGTGGAATGGCTCCTGTCCACAATAAGGGCAGTGGGGATAAAAACAACTCCCCCGTCACCCCCAGTCCCCGACATCAAACCACAGCCCAGAGGAAAGGAAGAAGAGAAGGGAACAGTGAGCAGGAGGGACAAAACGCGTGCACCAAAAACGTGAGAGCTACAGTGAAAAGGAAACCATTTAATTCATCACAGCACGGAGTCCCTCTGCTGCTGTCTCAGAATGAGAAACCCCTGCTCTGCCTCCCAAGGGTGCCCCAGGGGCCGGTTTTGGACCCTGAGATGCCCCAGGGCCATGGGGAGCCTCCAGGAAGGGCTCAGCTCTCCCTGGATGTCCTATGGTTGAGGAATGGACCGGTTTTGAGCAGTTAACCATCAATTTATTGATTTGTTTTGCTGGTGTTCTCAAAGCATCGTTGTGAAAGACAGTCCCTGTGGCTGTCATGGTTTTTCATTGATATTCCATATCATAACATCCTGCAGTGAACTGTCAGAGCTGGGAGGGCTGTGTTTCCTGGTTCCTGAGAGCTGAAAGCTACAAATCCTGTCAGCTCTGGTCATTCCCATGTAGTTTCCAGGAGGGGGGATGTGACATAAACTTCTGACTGTGCCACCATCCCACAGCATGGTCAGAAGCCCGTGTCCCTCTCCCATTTGTTTATTACCCTTGATTCCTTTTATACTGTATCATCTCACATTCCTTTGCCAGTTCTCATACATTAGTTTCTCTTTATCTCAATCAAACACCCCACCCCATCGTGGAACAAGAGATTCCAGTGTGGCCCAATGGCACCCAATGTGGGGCACAACGATTAGGATATCACTGCTGAACACCTATGGTGCACTGACAGTTTTGGCAGATATTTAAGGGAGGAAGGCTGCAGCTCTCTGGAACCCCTCCCAGCTCTAACAGTTATCATGATATGGAGTACCCATGAAAAACCATTCACGGTTGCATAGCAAAGGTTGAGATGTTGGCACAGCACGTGGGTCACTGGACTGCGTGTCCTGGGTGCTGGTTGTGATGGATTCCTGGAGAACTGCAGTCTCTCAATGGTCAGAGTGCTGCATCCACACTGGTCCCAAAGCAGGAATGTGACAGTGGAAGGAGGATAGGCATCAACTGCGATGCATCATGATGGCGGAGTGAGCAGGAGAAGGAGGAGACATCCCAGGGACACCAGCACACTGGTCTTGGTGGAGGTAGTGGCAGCAGAGGACTCAGCTGGAGGTAGAGGGAGAAATGGAGCAGCAAGTTGGACCACCACAGGGCTCACAGCCCCACTTCTCCATCAGCCCAGGGGCTCCTCCACCTCCAACCCAGGGGAAAAGGGGCACCTCCCAGAGACCACCTCCAGCCTCACAGGGACCCCATATCACTGCTGCTGGGCACTCCTTGAGCCAATGCTCTCTCCCACCCATCCCACTCAGTACCTTCCCAGGAGCAGGGATGCCTGTGGATCAGCCTAGAGCTGTTGGAGGAGATGGGATTCTTGGCTACACAGGTGTAGACTTCCATCAAGGGGCTGAAGGTGAGGAACAGCTCACTGCCGTTATTTGATGCGATCCTCTTGGGAGGCAACCACTCGTAAGTGACATCCATCAACCCCACTGAGCAATTCACGGTGACTCTGCAGCTCTCCGGGTTGCTCTCATCCACCACGAAATTTATGGTGGGTTTGGGGACCGCGTCTGCAGGAGACGGGGAGATGTCACAGCCACCCCATTCCCTGCGGGTTGCTAGGACCACCCCTCCAACTCACCATACACCTGCAGTTGGATGCTTTCAGTGTGCTCTGTGCCCGCACTATCCTCCATATACACCCAGTAGGTGTTGCTGTCGGCTTTCCTCAGGTGGTCCATCCTCAGGGTGTTGTTGGAGAAGAGTTTCAGGCGACCCTTGTAAGGGCCATTGGGGTAGCGGACCTTTTCCCCACTCTCATGGATGGCAATTTTCAGGTCCTTGCCAAAGCGCCACTCAACTTTCTGGAAGGAGCCCTGGGTTCTGGGGATGAGGTAGGCCACCCCCCCGCTAAGCTCTTTCACGTGTGTCTGGTCCTGCTGCGCCCATGCTGCTGGGAGAGCACAGAGCTGATCTACTGGGGCAGCTGGGACAGCAAGTCACAGCCCCCACCTCTTACCACTCCTTTACAGGCTCAAAACATCCTGATATTCAATTTCCCTTTTCCCTCTGCTCATTCCCCTCCCAGCTCACTCGCGTCCAGCATGATGGGACAGTGGGGTGTCCCATGGGGAGCGATCAGACTGCAGGATATCCCAGCAGATCACATCTGGGGCACAAAATGGGGACAGGAAGAGTAAAAGGAGAGCATGGGGTGGCGATGCGAGCCCCACACATCCTTCCTGCGCACCACCATCGCCATCCCCACCAGCATGTTCCTCACCAGCACGTTCTGCAGCACCATGGCCCCAATTAACGTGGACCCAACCTACATGGCCCCCGCTCAGCATCGCCCCGGAGGAACCCAGACGTACCTTTCACGAAGAAAACAAGAAGCTGCCCCGTGAGCACCACTGCCGCCTTCATTCCATGTTGGTGTCCAAAATCCACACCGAACATCGCAAACAACCCCCCCAGCAGCACCCCCCAGCTGCAGGTCTGACTTTTCCACCTACAGAAACATTTTCATGAAGCCATAGCGATCGCCAGCTACTATCACTAAAACTGAAAACCAAAAGCTGCCCGTTTTAACTTCTGCTGACGCTCTGCAGAGCGCAGGCGTGCTCTACTTCCTCAATCAACCAGTTTCTGTCACAAGGAGTCATCAGAGAGACCATCATAGAATCACCAAGGTTGGAAAAGACCTAAAAGATCATCCAGTCCAACCGTTCCCCCATTCCCAACAGCTCCCACTAAACCACGTCCCTCAACACAACATCCAGCCTTTCCTTGAACACCCCCAGGGTCGGTGACTCCACCACCTTCCTGGGCATCCATTCCAGTGCCTGACCACCCTTTCTGAAAAGTAATGCTTCCTAATGTCCAGAGTAATACTTCCTAATGTCCAGGAATGTCACTAACAAATGAGTTTTTTAGCTCGTTATCTTTCTGCACTGTTTGAAGCGGTTGGTCCTCACTGAGACCCCACTGACGATGAGCACCAGCACCTTAAGCCTATTTCCAAGGTAATGACTGATTCTGTTTGTGGGGGCAATGGGACAAGGACGCGTGGCAGAGCTGCAGAGCTCTGAGCTGCTGATTTCCAACTCCAGCTCATATCCATCAGGGAAAAGAGCCAGTGCCTGCAGGAGAGGTTTCTCACCTCCCTATCCCTCCTGCAAAATGAGGTAGCAGCCTCAGCCCCTTCTGTGTGTTCTGCCCTGGATTTCCACCCATGCCAGCACGGCACTCTGCCCCGACCCCATTCAGAGGTCCACCTCCTGCTGTTGAAACAGCAGTAAGTCGGTACTGACAGCACTGGAGAAGACTTTGCTCGCCCGAAGAAGCCCAAATCCCACGTGGCTTTGCATTCGTTTGCATTTTGCCTTCCCCTACGTTGGGGCCAGAAGTACTTTGCTCCCTCCCACCTGGATACCTCGAGGTGCAGATGATGGCACCAAGCAGCAGCACGGCTCTGCCTGAACCCCAGTGAGCAGCGCCCACCCCCCGAATTTCGTGTTGTGACAGCAGCCCCCCAACCCCCCCCCACCCCTCTACCATAGCAGCCTCTTAGCACGCTCCCCATTAACGATCCCAATTAACGCTCCTTTCGCAGGGAGCAGACACAAAGGTATTTTGATGCGGGGGACTCAGACAGAAGGAAGCGGGCGGCGCCGTCGGGAGTGAGCTCCCATCAAAGAGACACGTTTAATTTTAATCCCAAATAAAAGCCTTGATCTCGCCTTTGGTGCGATTTTTTGAAGCCAGAGTCCCCTTTCTCTCCCCCCTCCCCTCTTCCCGGAGCCTCTCGTGCCGTCGGAGGGCGTCGGAGGAAGGAAGGACCGTTGGGTGCAGGGCTGAACCCTCAGCAGCAGTCAGGATAGGGGGTGGTTGTGGTGTTAGCAAAACCCAAGTCCAGATGTTTCCCATCCCCAATGAGTCCCCGAGCTGCAGAAGGGGGGGGAATCCAAGTGCCTGCAGGGCTCAGGAGTTTTGGAGGTCCGTGGGAGATGTGGATGAGCTCTGAGAGGAGGGGTAATGTCTCAAAGGTGCCGTCACCTGCAGGTAAGTGGGTGAGGGTCAGTACAACAGAAGCGTTTGCAGCCCTTCCTTGTGCGTGGTGTGAGGCTTCTGTCGGTCACCAAAAATCACCCAGAAAGTCACCCAAATTCCAGCACCAAGAAGCTCAAGAGCGTGGTATTTGGAGAGGAGATGTGCAGGGCTCGTCTGTCCGCTGCCCTGTGCCCGTTACCTCCATGTAGGCAGTGGAAACCAAAGCTCGGTCCAACTTCTTCCTCTTGAAGGAGGGGGACTGAAAAGCAGAGCGTGGATCTACCCTTAGGGATGGGGTAAGGGGCTGCTGCCCCACCAGAGACCCTAAGAGCAGCTCCAGAGCTCAGGGGCTGTGAGCTCCCACAGGTGTCCTCAGCACTGATGAGGATTTGAGCTTCTCTGCTTCTGCACAGGGGCCATAGCCGTAGCACAGAACACTCACCTTCATGCTGTGCTGAACAGTGGAGTAAATGGTGCAGCTTTCGGGTTTTTGAGGGCTTCTGGGCCTCTACCAGTGGGGAGCAGAGGAAATATGGAGTGAAAAGCAAATTATGGATGAAAACCCTACACCTCTGGGGCCACACAGCTCCCCTGGGATGGATCCCAGCACAGGGTCCCACCTGTCCTTTGGGGTTGACCACAGCGTAGACGGTGTTTCCCACCATGTGAGCCTCACTGTTCCCATTCTGCAGGAGAAAACAGCCCCAAACTGGTTAAAAGGACGCAGTCCAGGCTGACAGCAGCTATCCTGGAGCCATGTGCTGCCCAGGGCTCAGTGTGGGGGGGGGGAACCCAACACTCACAGGCTCTTGACCAGTTTGGAGTTTGCCCACCTCCTCATAGACAGTCAGCGATGGCTCTGTGTGTTCTGGGGGAGCTGAAGGGGTCGGAGCTGGGGAAGAGAAGTTAGAGCTCACAGTCCCACACATCCCAGCAAAGCGAAGCAGGGGAGGAAGGCGCCCCTCGGCCGTGGGATAAGGGGCTGCTTCTCCAGCTCAAAATAGAGCAAATGTTGACCAAAATCCAAACAGTGCCCCAGACACCATGAGATGGACTCTCCTGTGCCAGCAGCAGCTTTGGGATGGAAATAGTCCCCCAGAGCAGGGTAGAAGCGGGGGCTGGTGGCAGCACAGGGGGGGACTCAGGGGCACGAGGGGTGTCAGGAGGAGATGCGCAGCCAAATCCCCACTCCAAGTGGATCCAAACCTGCAGGGTGGTCCTTCCTCCTCCTCCTCCAGCACCAGTAGGTAGTGGAGCCAGCAATGCAGACAGCCAGCACCAGCAACACGGTCACTGCCCACCACGGGATGGCACCAAACAGCCCTGGGGAGGAATGAACGGAACGGGTGACATGAAAGCAGAGGGCGGACATTTGAAGATGATTCTACGACTCTACGATTTCCAAAGCACAGCTCCCATCATGGCCGGTGCATGGGGAAGAGACTTGCCCAGGGAAACCACAACATCCATTTGCACGCAGTTTCCAGCAGTAATGTTTCCCTTTTCAGTAGAAGGGCACATTTTCTCCCTGGTAGCAGCAAAGCAGCTTGGGGGGGGGAGGAGGGGGGAAGGGAAGGGGTTGGGGGGAAGATGAAGGCCCTAAATATGCAGCGATGCAACCCCAAACCTGGCTTTAGTGGAGCAGAGGACAGATCACCTGTCTGGCTGCAGGCTGTGGCCGTGTCGATGCTGGCCGTGCTCCAGCTGGCCGGGTTGCTCACATTGCAGACATAGAGCCCAGGCTGCACATCTTTGGGCACTTCCAGCACGCTCTGGTTGCCCAGTGGCTCCCAGTCACGGAACCAGCTGTAGGACACGGCGGTGGCCTCAGGCACAGTGCAGGACAGCTGGAAGCTGCACCGTCCCTGCTCCTGCTGCAGCACGCGTGTCTCCAGGTGTGGGCTGCCCACAGGCTCTGCAGGGACAGAGAGGTTAGAGGGGATGGGGAGGGAGGAGGGCAGGAGGTCCAGGCACTCACCCCACACTGACACGTGGAAGCACTTGGTCAAAACAGACCCATTTGACTTTTCGATCTCTGCAGAATAGTTGCCGTTGTCTGCTTGGGTGACAACAGTGATCTGCAGGGAGAGGGGCTCCCGGTGGAAGATGGCTCTCCGAGAAAGAGAACTGTTTGAATATTCAACTTTATCCTTCTGAACCGTCAGGATGCGCTGCCGGGGTTCTGCCCCCAGCTCCACTTTCCAAATAACAGCTATCCACTCCCGTGGCAGTGGCTCCTCCAGCAGCAGCTGCAGATCCGTACCGGTGAGCACTGCTGTGTCCCTGCATCCTTCAGCTCCTGTGGAAGGCATGAGGTGAGCACAGTGTCCCCATGCAGAGAGACAGTCTGGGATGGGGAGCCCTATTCTGCACCCCGTGTGCTGCTGCTTCATCCTCTCTGGGCAGCACTTCTTGGTGCAGATGGAGCAGGGATGGGTCCCTGCATGCTCCCATCTCCTGCAGTGCTGCGTCTGTCCACACCCTGCACTCTGGACACATATTGCAGCCGCCCGTCCAACATCCCCTCTGCCCTGCTCAGAGAGCAGGCAGTTTCAGGCCATACAGGAAGTGTCCACTTCTTCTTCATGCCCCATCTTCCTCCTCGCTGCTGCAGCCTGAATCTGACCCAAAGGACCCTTCCCTCCCAGAGAAACTCTGCTCTGCTTTCTCCCTTCGCAAAGCAGCCACGGATGTCCGGGGCTCTGGCAGAGATGAGATGAAAAGCCCTTGAAGCAAATACGAGCCAGCAGTCAGCAGCGCCTGGTGTGCACCACTTCCTCCATCTGCATGTTTGGGACAACATCGGACGCAGAAGCAGCCCAAAAGCAGTGCGTGCCTGGCCACCACAGCCCCAGCGAGCAGCAAAAGAGGTGTGAGGTGTGAGAGGTGGTGTTAACCACATTCGGGGGCTTGCATGCAGCTATTCTGAGCCCCTGCTCGCTGCAGGCTGTGCTGCACAGCTTCCAGGCAGCTGCACCCCACCTTGTGCAGCCCCTGGGGATGCTTTGCACAGAGGTGGTGGTGGGGTTGGGGCTGAGAGGAGAGCAGGGGAGGAGGTGATGGGCAGTTGAAGTGAGAGGTAGGAATGGAATGGGAGCTCTGGAGGTGTGCGCAGAGTCTGGGGGTGTCAGGGGGTTTCTCACAGCGCCGCCCTGCTGCCCTGCAGCACTGTCCCTGGGACCGGGGAGGAGAAACTCAGGCACAACCTTCTCCAAGGATTATTGCAGTCAGAAGGTCTGTGTGGCTGTGTGAGGGCTGGGGATGGCTCTACCTGGGCTGGGCGGGGCTGGGAGCAAAGCAAAGCCAACCCCCAAATCCATGCTCCATCTCCTAGGGTACCCCGAGCCCCTGTGAGCGCTCTGCCCACCCCACCGTCCTGCATGGCACGGCCCCAACCCCCAACCAACTCCCCCCACCCCGTGCCCCCCTCCTCACCTTGCCCGCTGCCTGCCACCCCCAGCACGACGCACAGCAGCGTCTCCACTGCATGCAATGCAACCCCGTGCTGCCGCATCTCCGAACCGTGTGAGCGAGCTGCCTGCAGCAGGAGACGGCGCTGGGAGACGGCGCCCAGCCATCAGCAACTTCCTCCCTCACACCCCCATGGGCGCGTGCTGCTGTGCAACACCCTCTGCGTCACCGCCTCCCCTCGGCCCCCCACGCCGTCCCCACGTCACCCAGCGGGAGGATGGAGCCATCCACGGCTCTGTGACCACAGGGGATCGATGCTCCTGCAGGGCTCGGTGGCTGTGCGTCTCTGAGGAAGCTCATTCTAAAGGCCCAAGGAGGTTCTCTGGGGGTTTTGCTTTCTTTTTGAGCCTCTGTTGTGAGAGGACTGGGTGTTACAACATGAGAGCACCACCACTGCAGCTCAGAGAGCGCCGAGCTGGCCCTGGCCACCTGAAACCCCTTATGGCATGAAGTGGGAGCTCTTTGGGGGGTTTTGTCTCATGCACTTCCCCGTGTTTTGCTGCACTTCCCACTCAGCACCGTGCAGCGCAGCCGCCCAGCAGTGCTGGGGGAGAACAGCTGCCATCAAGTGGTGCTGAATGCAGAGGACGCTGTTCCAAGGGACTGAAATTCTCCCTGCTGTGGGTGTTACTTCACTTGGGTCGTTAAGAAGGAGTTGTTGTGAGAAAAGATGAGGTTTATTTGTAAGAGAAAGACACTTATGAAAAGACAGTGTGCTGCTCTTGTGGGGCTTTGGTGTGCTCTTGGGTCATGGGAAGGAGGAAGAAGCAAAGGCTAGGGCTGAGCTTCTCTTTGTCCATGGAAAAAAATGCCATTCCCTTCCTATCAGCTGCATGTAACAAGCATTTCTCCGGGGAAAAAAAAAATAGCCCCGAAGTGGGTGTATTGGCAATCGCTCCTTCTCACCAGCCCGGGGCGCTGGAGGATGTGGGAGGTGTGGGAGGAACTGAGAGCTGCTTCCCAAATCGAGGGAACCAGAGCGCTGTGAGTGTGATGCTGAGCAGTGCGGTGACCTCAGCAGCACCAGCCCTGCATCCTCCCTCCATCCCGACTGCGTGGGGAAGCTCAGCCCATCGCTGTGCGTCGTTGGAGGTCTCTTCTCTTTGCTCCGTAACTCCAGATCTGCTGTGTCCAGACAAACTGAGCATGCAGTGATGTGTCGGGCCTTTATTGGGCTCCATAGATCCATCAGTAAATCGGCAGCACTGAGATGAGGGCAGCTTTATTCCACTCTTGGCTTTTCTTCCAACCTGAGATTTCAAGGCTGCCCCAAGCACTGCAGGCAGAGCCCCACGCAGCCCTTCCAGCTCACCCCAGCAGTCCCCTATGGGTTTGGTGCACGTTGCTGGTGACACAGAGCCGAACACAAGGAGGACCCTGTTGCACACAGCCTTTCCTCTATGGGAGCACTGCATTAAGGGGCAGACAGGCAGCTCCTGAGCAAATCCTTGGGAAAACTACATGCGAGCATCCCCAGCTCAGCTCCATCTCCCCAGCAGTGAGAAGATCCCCACATCCTTCACACAGACAATGCATGAAGTCCTCCTTCCTCCTCCTCCACCACACCCCCTCCAGTGCCTCCACACCCCTATAGGACCCCAACAACTGAAACGATGCAGCAATCAGCATCAACCCCCTCTGCTCCACTTCTCCTTTCGGTGGGATGCAGCACAACCACGCTTATCATTCAGTGTTAATTGCCGGGCTCTCATTAGCTGCCACCGGGCCGATCCCTGCGTGTTCCTGCAGTGATGTGGAACCCGGACCCCAATCTCCCCTTTCCCCCCCTTTCCTCCCCCCCCCTCCCCCCCCCCCCTTCCGGCTCGAAAGCAGAGGAGCAAAAACTAATTAAGGCTACAAAGGAAACTCGGCGCTCGGCAAGGTTGAAAACCTCCATTCCAGAGCAGGGGCTGAGCCGCTTAATTAGCGCTTTTGTCTGCGGCCGAATTCAACATGTAGGGAACGATTTACATCAAGGGGACGCTCCCTTTGCTGTCGGAGCTCCTCGCAGCCTGCCCGGGGAGAGCTGAGCTGTAAGAAGGAGAACGAAGGAGGGGGGAAAAAGGGATGGGAATGAAAGGGAAGCGTTCGGCACGTCTCACGGACCGCGTTGAGGAGGAAGGGAAGATGCTGCATGCTCGAAGCACCGCATTGCAGAGGAGAAGGTGTTTTCATTCAGTGCATCATCCGTGGATTCTCATCCCCCCTCCAGCGAAATGTGGCCCCTGAGATGTGCAGGGGGCTCGAGGGGGGGGTGGATGGGACGGGTTTACTTGAAGGCGGCGCCGCTCGTGTGGTCACAGAGGGGATGGATACACGCGGCCAATGCCACCCCCGATGGGACAGTGTGCGGGGTGGGAGCAGGACGAAGCCGTCCCGCATCGGGCCGTTATCTGCCCTTAACCCCCGCCCGTGCGCAGCCTTATCCCGCAGCATCCCACCCCTCTCTCCTCTGCCAACGAAATGGGGGAAGAATGAGCGATTTCAGCCCCAGCGCTCTCGCGGCCCCGCGCGGCTCCGCCCGGGAGGTGGCAGCACGGGATCGCGTTCAGTGTCACCCGGCCGGGCACCCCCTTGCACCCTTTGGTGCTGTGGATGAATCCCAAATTCGTGGTGAGGGCACGAGTTTCATTTCCGAGCGGGTCAGGGGCGGCAGAAAGCTCGGGAAGTGAATGGGGTGGGTGTTGGAGTTTGTGTGCATAGGGGAGCAAAACAGTTCTGTGCAATGCCTCTGAGCCCCAAATGTAACTCATTCATGCTGTGGGGCACAGCACTGAGATCCCTTTTCCAGGTGGATTTGATGGGATGGGGCTGGGATACTCCATGCTCCCTATGACCACTCCCAACCCATGAGCACCATCACCCCCCGGGTTCCCAGCATCTCTCAGTTTGATGGGCTCAGCATGGCACAACAAGTCAGCCTTCCCCCCACCAACCGTCCCCCCTGGGCAAGCCCCAGTCCTGGCACATCCTGACAGAGCAGCTGTCACTTCCTCACTGATGCCCATCCCACTGCCCCCCATCACCACTTCCTCACCCGAAAGCTCACTCACGTCCTTCCCTGAACACACTGAGCAATTCGCCTCCTCCTTCCCCAGTCCTGGCTGCAGCACCACCACGCTCAGCCCCACGGATTGGGGGTCTGCAGGAAAGGACCCCCAGGCATGGTCAGAGTTGGGGCTGTACAGTTCAGCTGCGTGCTGCTGGCGATGGCTGCAGGTAAGGGTGCTGCCTTTGGGGGGCTTTGAGGGATGGATGGAGGCATTGCTTTCACTGCTGGGGCAAGGGGGGGGAAGAGGATGTCACCAGCACATGTCACCCTGTCCCTCGCAGGTCTGCAGTGCTGCCATGCCCTCAAGGTACTGAGAGGGGTGCAGGGAAAGCCGCTGTCCTTCCCAGCGTTGCGCCCCTTGGCTGAGGACATCGTGAGGATCACCTGGATTTCTGAAACCCACAGCACGCACATCGCCGAAGCCAAGCCTGGGCTGAAGGAATTTGCAGTGGATTTCCTGCCTGACTTCCAAGGCCGGCTACGAATCCATCCCCACTTGCTGTCGCTGGAGATCACGGAGCTGCGCAGCACAGATGCAGGCCAGTACTCTGCAGGGGTAGACATCGCCTCCAAACCCAGCAGCCCCAGGAAGTTTACCTACCGTGTGTTGGTTCTTGGTGAGTGCCAGTGCCCCTGGGGGAGACGTGCTGACGGATCACCACTGCACGAACCTCCTGACCCCAGCCCGCTGGCCCTGCAGCTTCCTCTGGGAGGTGTGCAGAAATCCCCGTTCCCTCTGTGGTGACATCGCCACACTGCACCCAGTGCATCCAAACCTGCTAACACCCAAATCCTGGGGGGGGGGGAAAGGGATGGATGGATGCATTTTCCCCCCGCAGAGCACTCCCACGCTGACCCCATGTCCCTCACACACAGATGACCCCTCTGTGACAACTGGCAGTGACACAGGAGGACACAGCAGGAGCACAGCTGGACCAGGAATGAGCTCTGAGCCACATGCTGGGGAGGGGACCACGCCAGGCCCGGGCAAGGGGCAGCTCCTGGATGCTGGGGAGTCTCCAAGGCCATGTGGGGCACAGGGTGGGTACTGCACACTCAGGGGTTATCTGGTGGCTGCTGTGTTTGGCCCACTGGTGGTGTTACTGGTGGCTGTGCACGTGGTGACCAGGCGTTGAGACTGGGGGATGAGTAGGACCCACACTGGGCTCCAGAGGGACAAGAGCGAAGTCTAAACCCACCCAGCACAACTCCACTGTTCTCCCAGGATCGCCAGATTTACCCAGACAGGAAAAGCCACATTCACCCCAGTGATGCCCTATAAGGGCATAAGATGCATTTCATCATCTCTTGCACAAGCCCCAAACCTGGTGACACTGCTTCCTCCCAGCGGCCACACAAACCCCACTGCGTCCCATCACTCCCAGTCTGGGATCTCCTCCTTTATGGGGTCAGCATCGGATTCGTACCCGCAGCCCCGAATTCGGTGTGAGGTAACAACTCAGCATCTCGTCCAACCTTCCACAGTTTATAAGAAGTGAATTATTTACCGGTGACCCCAACTAAAACGCCAGGCGGCATGAATTATGGACGGGAGGATCTGTCAAAAAGTTCTCATAAATAAGTGATCCGGTGCCATCTTCGTGTTCCCAGAAAATCACTCATTCAATCTCCTGTCTAAACGCCCTCTTGGGAAACCTCCTCACGCCTGCTCTGCTGCTTTATGAATTGGGAGTGGGAAGGTAAAGGGCAATGGGGAGGGAGAGCTCCTTGGGACTCCCTCCCTACATCCATGTCATGTTTACACCCCGTGGTGTAGGGTGGGGGAAACCGCAGGGGTCACTTCTTGGGGACCTGGGGATCACAGGGCAGCACGGATCCTGCCCTTCCTTATGCATCTCTTCCACTTATTGGGGTCGTATCCCCTCCAGCACTACCAAAGGGTCCCTCCAGATCCACGAGCAGAGCCTCACCACCACTCCACAGCAACGCCCTGGCGCAGAGGGAAAGCCCTAAGGCATCCCATGTTCCCCAACACCCACCCACCCTCCTCCCCCCCCCTGCGTTTGCGTTAATAATTGAATGCCAGTCTGGGGGACTATGATTTATTTAAAGGAAACAGCGTGTTAACAAGAACACAATCTGATCCCCTGCCACAGACGTCTGCTTTATTAGCACCTCTGTCCGAGAGCAGCGCCCCGGAGGCAAACAAACAAACGTGGCAAATAAAACCCTCGTTTGGAGACACGTTCAGGAAATTACCATGTAAAAGGGGGGGAGAACCAAAAAAAACCCTACACAAATACACAAAAATAGAGGATGGAGGCACTGCTCCCACGGTGCTCACATCAGGGGTGGAGCGTTTGAGGCGAGGAACGTGCAGGGCTGGGAATGGGGCAGCCTCCCCCCAACAGGGTGATGATGCATTTTGGCCAAATCAACGGATATTTTGGGCAAACCGTGGATATTTTGACCAAATCAATGAATGTTTTAGCCGTATCATGGATATTTTGGCCGAACCCTGGACATTTTGGCCAGAACCCCGGTATTTTGGCCCCATCCCCAGCATGCTGGCCAAACCCATAGCACCTTCCCCCCACCCCCCGCCCCAGCCTCCAAGCTCTTCTCTTCCTGGCACTGGGGAAGCCGTTGCTGCACCGTTGGCTGGTGGGGAAACGGAGCAGCAAAGCGGCCGAAACCCGAGGACGCCCCGCTGAGCTCTTTATCCCCGTGCCTCTTCCCGGTTGTGAAATTCTCTTTCCATCAGCCAAGCAGTCCAGAAGTTATTGGCAGAAAGCGGGAGCACGAGCTCATGAGCTGCATCTCCTCGGGAAAGCGGCTCCCGCAGCGCTCTGCAAATCACCGAGCGGGAGGCAGCGGGCGAGCAGCACCCACCGTGCCCCCTCCCTCCCCCCCAGGGGCCGTTAATTACCGTGGAATAGGGGTCACAGCGGCGGGAGCACGAGCAAAGAGCTCCCACGTAATTGCTTTACAAGAAATAATAATCACAAAGAGAGCGACCGCCGCTCTGCAGACTCGGCAGCCCGGTGTGGCTGCGGAGGGAAATCCACCTCCTTTCCCCGCCGAGGTGCTTTGCAGAGCTCGCAAATTATTCCTCCACCCCGGCGAACAGAAAGCAAAACCCGTTTCCTTGGAGCGCGGTGGGAGCAAGGAGAGGAATGCAGCCCCCCAGGGCCTCCAACCGAGGGGACAGCGGGGACCCCGCGGTGTCACCAAGCGCTGCGCCCGTGCGGACCGGCCAAATCCCCGACGAGCCGCCCTAACGAGCTCTTCGTTAGCCATTCCGCTCCAGCGCGCAGCTCGTAATGAGCAAAGGCGAGCGGCTGCCTCCAAATGGGCTCTGGAAGCCGCTCGCAGACATTAGGCTCTGTATAAATATCGTTATGATTGTTATTATTATTGGCACAGATGGGCTTTCATGGACCGCCGCGCACCGCGGGAGTTCCTGTTCTGCCTCCGGCTCTCGGCGAGGGGGAGAAAACAAATTGCTGATGCCAAATCCACGAGGGGCTCGGGGGTGCTGAGAGCCCGGCTCCCAGCTGGGGGGGGGGTGGGCATGGTGACGGTGACCCCGAGGCCAATGCGGGGCACGTGAAGCACAAGGATGGGCTCGCAGGTTCAGCCCACCCCATCCCGATGGGGGCCGGGAATCCCCCTCCCCCCCCCCTCCGTCTGCCACTTGTTGGTCCCAGCGCTGTCCCCATCCCCGCTGCTGGCAGCTCCTCCGCTGCGCTCCATCAGCACATTCCTCTCCTCTCCCCCCTGACCTCTCGCCCTTTCCTTTGCGCTCCACGAACTCCCGCACGTTTCCTCCCCCTCCCCCCCCCCCCCCCCCCCCCCCCGCGCCATCTCTTCTCCTCCCCGAATTCCTGCGGGACTCGGATCCCGCCTTCTCCCCCCCCCCCCCCCCCTCCCTCCCTCCCAGCGCCGAGGGAAAGGGCTATGGAGTCTGGGACAAGAAGACGAGCTTTGGAGAGCCAAAAGGTTTCTGTGCTCTGCCGGACACGGCGGCATAGCGATCGTCCCCACGCAGTCGCCACATCATCCACGAGTGGCTGCGGTTTTTATTAAACACCCCTTCGCTTTGCTCCTTTCATTGCCGTCTCCTGTCTTCCCCCCCTTCCCCCCTCCTGGGCTCCGTCCCGGGATTCCTGAAGGCACCAGGGGGCAGCGCGGGGCCGCCGTCCGCGATCCGGGGAGGGGAACGGACAGGGAACAGGGAGGAGATGCGGGGAACGAATCTGCAGCCCCGAGTGAGGCGGGGGGTGAAGGGGAGGAGGAGGAAGAGCCCTCGAGTGGGGAGCAGTGCCCGCAGTGAGCCCCCTCCCTATGGCACTGGCTCCGTAAGCACAGAGCGCAGGGAGGAGCCTGGAGGAAGCAGGTCTGGCAAACAAACAAACAAGTAAATAAAGACGATTAATAAATAAATAAAACCATCTAAATCGCTGCTAGAAATCCCCGCTCGAGCCAAGGAAAGGGCCGCTCTGCTCTCGGCCCCAGCTCTGCTCGCCTCCACCCTTGGCACAGCCGCAGCCCGGCGGGCGCAGGAGATGCTGCTGACTCAGGCAGCCGCGCTGGTTCCCATTTGCAATGTTTTCTCTAAAACCCTCAGGGCTAGAAATTCTATTAAAAAAAAAAAAAAAAGAAAAAGAAAAGAAAAAAAAAGAAAAGAAAGAAAAGAAACCCAACAACAACAGCAGCAAAAAAAAAAAAATCAAACCCCAACCATGAAAGCTGAAGCTTCTGCCTCTACCCAGAGCTTAGCCCGCTCCGCTCTACTTGGAAAGCTTCCCTTCCCTGGAGCCTGCAGGCAAGAGGATTTTTGGAGCCGCTGATATCCAAGGCCTTCAGCTGCGGCTTAGAAAGTTTTCAAAGAGGAATAGAGAGGGATGGATCAGCTTGTGGTGAGCGGGGAGAGGTGAAGAAGGAGCGGAGGGGGGCTTAGACTGCAGCCCCCTACCCGGGTGGGAGCAGGGGGTCCTAAAAGGGTGGAGCTGGGGGCTCTAGGGGGGGGATACAGTGGGTCTTGAAGGGGAGGTGTGTGTCCTGGGGGTGCACTGGGAGTTTTAGGGGGGTCCTGAGGAGAGATGTGGGTCTTGAGTGGGTACTGCCAGACCCACACAAGTGCACGCCATGCTGCTCACACGCAACCAGCAGGCACACACGTGTGCTCCCACAGGAACACCCCAAATCGCACACGGACGGTGCAGCCAACACACGCTGTCACGAGTGTGCACGGAAAAGAACAACCCCCAACCCCGTGCTCACACCAACATTCCCACAGCCACGGGCAGACGCGTGCACGCACACCGACACGCGTGCACACACACGCACACGCATGCACGCTCGCTTCCACACCAACACGCGAGCACCAACATGCCTCCACATGCGTGCACTCATACGCACGCACATCCACACACCCGCAAACACCCCGAACACCGCTCAGCCCCCGCCTTCTCGCTCCCCCTCCCCAAAGTGTCCCGAGTCCGCCCCCGGCCCGGCCCCGCCCCGCCGGCAGCGCGCACTCCGGGGCGGCGCGGCTCAGCTCGGAGCGGCACGGAGCGGTTTTGCACGGAGCGAGAGGAGTCCGTGGCCCTTTCCCGGCCCCGGCCCCGGCCCCGGCCCGGCCGGGCCATGCTCTAACGGCGGCGGCGGCGGGGCCGAGCGGGGCGGCGGGGAGCGGGCCCCCCCCGCGCCCCGTGCCCGCAGCGCTGCCGGGACGGGAGCATGCGGCTCCTCTTCCTCTGCCTCCTGACTCTCGCTGACTGCTACGGGCAAGGTGAGCACCGCGCTCCGGGAGCGTCGAGCGTCGCGTACCGGCATCGAAGTGCGCGTCCCAAGTTGCAGCGCACCGCACCGGCTCCGTCCCGGTTCGGTTCGGGCCCCCATCCCATCCCGGCTCGGCACGGTTCGGCTCGGCCCTCATCCCGGATCGTTTCGGTTCGGGTCTCCATCCCGGCTCGGCTTGGTTCTGTTTTGCTCGGCCCCATCTCGGCTCGGCCCGGGGCTGTGCTCGGGGGTGGGACCGCGCTCCAGTGCACCGCGCCCCACTGGGATGCGCTTGGGGGGGTCCCGAAGCCACGTCCCGCGGAGCCCTCGCGCGGCGCCGGGGGAGAGCTGAGGGTTCCCACCGTTGCCGAGTCTCGGTGCGTGATTCCTCCCCTCTCCGAGGCTGAACCCCTCCGTTTGGGTCTCGGTGGGGGTCATGCCCTCTCCGTTCGGGTCACGCTGGTGCCCCTCGGTGGGGGTCGCGCCCCCCGTTTTGGATCCCGCAGCGGCGACGGCGGTGAAGATGGAGCTCGGGGTGGGTTGATGCGGGGAGCTGTCGGTGGGGGGAGCCAACCCTGTGCACCCCAGGGAGCGGAGGGGACCCGACATGGGGTGATGTGTGCAGGGATGTGGCCTGGCCGTGGTGATATCGGGGGGAGCCGTGTGGGAACGATTGTTTGTCCATCCATGTGCGCAAGAGGCGAGTTTGGGGGCAGCTCGGACCCCCGACACCCACCGAGGCAGCCCTTAAGGAGCGCAGGGTTGGGGGAATGCAGCACACCTCCATTCCCCTGCTCACTTTATGGGGTTTGCTGCAAGCCACAAGCTCTCCCCTTCTCCCCCCCCTC